TTTTTTGGGACTTACACTGTATACCTAACTGTTTTCCTGGGAGCTGGATCACCTGTTTACCAGCGAGATCGTGGCGAGCTCTGGGGAGCTCGCCACGAGCTCCTCAGTGTAACCCCGAGCTCGCCACGAACTCCCCCTTTTACCCACGAGCTCGCCACGAGCTCCCCCTTTTACCCACGAGCTCCCCACGAGCTCCCGAGTTTACCCCCGAGCTCGCCACGAGCTCCCCAGTTTAACCCCGAGCTCGCCACGAACTCCCCCTTTTACCCACGAGCTCGCCACGAGCTCCCCAGTTTACCCCCGAGCTCGCCCACGAGCTCCCCAGTTTACGCCCGAGCTCGCCACGAGCTCCCCCTTTTACCCACGAGCTCGCCACGAGCTCCCCCTTTTACCAACGAGCTCGCCACGAGCTCCCTCTTTTATCCACGAGCTCGCCACGAGCTCCCCAGTTTACCCGCGAGTTCGCCACGAGCTCGTGGCGAACTCGTGCACGAGCTCGCCAAGATTTTGTAAGATCGTTACAAGCGTCCTGGGAGCGTGTTACGAGCTTAAAGCCTAAAAAACGATCTTATTAAGCTTACCACGAGCATAATACGAGTTCGCGACGAACTTAAATTTGTATAGGGGAATACTATCCTTATGTATCACACTACACTTACACTTTAGGTGTTAGACAATGCTGCTATAGAATTCCAGGGAATGTTTACTAATTTAACAATTTACACGTAAGGTAGCAGAGTCCTTCTTAGCCAGAAAGGGATAAAGTGGTAAATCCGTTTTATAACCTCATGCACTTAATCTCATAATCTCTCTGGCTCATACTACAAAAATGATGAGGCGTAAATAGATGTCATGTCTTCTCCATTTCCTGAGGGACAGTGCATTTTATTTATGGGTCTATACTTATGCTACGCTATTCGTTCAGTCTGTATGCAAGGTCCATAGAGTAGCCTAGTCAGGTACCCTTTCATTGAAAGAATAACTTTATAAGTTGTGCATTTACACTGGTCTACTTTCATTGCATACCCCAGAATGTGTAAAAAATCTACTTGTACATGAACAGAAGGTCTGATTTATTCATGTTTGAATTTAAAAGAAAAACCTATTAGACAATGGAACATTCCAGGATTGATGTAAGTCCTGTAATGAAACGTCAGGGATGACACATGGCCCCATTATAAGTTCCTGTTGCCAAGAGCAATTACCTAGTCCTAGCCAGAGAATGCCAAGTTGACAGCCTCAAGCCTGCCACATCTTATGGTAGCTTTATAGAGGTCATACAAGAGGAAATGTCTGGCCTGACTCTGTAAAGCACCATGAGTCAAACAGTTTGGAGCTCTCACTCGACCCTTGTATGTATAGTGATGATCCATTTTGACCGATTGGTGCTCGTAAACATCTTTCATTATCATTTAGTATAAATGGAGTACAATGGAAAGACACCTGAACAAGGCGAATTAAAAAGTGCTGAGTAGAAAAACTCATAATTTTGGGAAGCAAAATCAATGTGTTGCTACATCAGCAATTTGTTGGGGAAAAGCTGCCCATGTAGAGTGTGCATTTATAGCCAAGGAGTACACATGCCTGAGTGAACAATCACATGCCCTTTTCTCTGGGCTATTAGATTTTCTTTATTTTTCTAGTTCCAAACAGTAAAAACAGATTTCAAGTTGATAAACTTGAAGTAATAGATCAGGAAGATGTCCTAATTCTTTTACTTGTACCAGGGCTTGACACTCTCAGGCAGCCAGGACGCATGGACCCCAGGAGACTTGGCCCCCCCCCCCAAAAAAAAAAAAAAAAATCTGAAATTTTCAATAGGGCTCATGCATACAGACTCTAAATCATTCAAACTGGATCTCTTTCCAAAAAGTTAGTGTGGAGCCCTGCTTATAGGTTGCTATTCAAATTGTTTTTTTGTCATTTAGATCTATCATTAAGGAGCAGATTTGTAATTCATTTACATCATGAAGGCTAAGTACAATACTGTACTGTACTAACAAAAAACATGACAATGCATTTTCTATCAAAATGAAACAAAGGCTATAGAAGAAGTCAAGTTCATTCTATAGATGCACACACGGGACACATTAATAAACAAGAATTTTTCATTCTAAAAAGATAAATATGTTACTCATTTCATATCAGTTCACATCAGTTATATATTTAATTCCGGGAACGCACGTTTGCCGCTTAATGAATACATGACTGCCAACCAGCCCGGTTCAATTAATTTTCCTCTTCAGTATAAATGTACATGTATTTAAATAATAGAAATTCAGAATATTCTGATAAAGGATTATAACCTGGAATTCAAATTGATTGGATTGAAGATACTGCCTGTAATCTACCAGTCATCACCTGTACGCACCCATTTATTTGTTGCATATTATCCCCAGGGTCACCGTAGTGAGATAGCAACACAGGATTTGTACGGTGGACGAACCCCATGACACATGGTTCCTTGCTTTCCAACTGTATTCTGCCTCTTTGTTCTCTGTATGGAATGAGTAACCCCCTGCCACACAGACAATACACTGACAAAAAAAACCTAAAGGCTACCTTAGGTCTAGAATTCATTGATAATTGGTTGGTTTGGTAATGTGACTGGGGTATCAGCATTTATACACAAACTGGCTTCTTAGAATATTAATGCAACATTAGCAAAAAATGTAAGTTCATCTTTTAGATGACGACCTTTTGTCCTTTCCTTTCACTCTGTGATAATGAAATACACGCTGTATGAGACTTGTTTTCATACTCTATGTTTATGAATGAGTGATACGATATGTAAACCGGATAGAACTGTTTTTATTTATTTTTTTATTTAAAATGGTTTATTTCATTAAAAAACATTCGCGGCCCGAGAGCCGAATTACAGTTTTTTTTACAAGGTATACATCAGTGACAAAGTGAAATTACACGTAAAACATTATGCATGGTAGCATTATGGTAGTAAAATTGGAATTCTTTTGTACATATGATATATAATTGTGCTTCAACGACCTTGGCAAATTGCTCGGAACATATACAGAAATTCGAATTGTATTACCATACTTGCAATAAAATTATATATTAAACTTGTACAATATATGAATAGCAATACATTTTTGATATTCAAAAGAATTAAATGTTTTGGTTGGAAAATGCATAGCCAGATGGGTAAGGTATGGTTATGGTGTTTTCTTCAATAACAGAAACAGAGACAACAACAGAAACCAAATCCACTGTTGGTGGAGTTAAGTAGTTGGCACGGTCATACTACTCATATCCTGCAAACAAACAACTGTACAGTAGTTTCATCCAAATGCTATCCACCTGATATGAACAGATAAGAACATCATGCTTGTTGTTCTGTATTTATAATGTATTTAAATTTGATTATTAAATTCATGTAATGCTTGCCAGCTATCAAAAACAGGGCTTCTATCATAACAAATTAGGCTAAATTACCATCTACATGTATCTTTCTCTCTCTCTCTCTCTCTCTATCTTTCCAAAATGATACTTTCAGTACACTTTCTTGGGATCGTTTTTCAAAACAAATTAGCAAGAATTTGAACTTGTCTGTCATCACAAATATTGGGCTAAATCTGAACTGCAGCGTACATAAATGTATACCGGTATATTCAACTTTTTGACCTGGCAAATAGAGGAGCTAATTATATAAGAATAATAGTGAAGTCACCACTTGTATAATCATGCCTCCCATCACCCTTTTAACTGATCTCTCAACATGTATTTTGAAAGTTAAGTAGTACTTCCAGATTTGATTTATGCATATTTGGAATTATTTGTATTAATACTTTTTTATTTAAACCTAATTAAACTACAATTGACTTAAATTTCAAGAGAATAGATTTAAAATTTGCCTTCAGAACATATTTATAACACATTAATCATGAATATTAAAAAAGAACATCTTAGAAAGGATATTCACCCAGCTTCATTTTCATGGGAGAAGAAAAATAATCAGAACTAACTGATCAACAAAGTAATGCATGAAACTGGACTCATTTTGCATTGATAAGATCCTGCTCATGTTTGTCAGAAGCTGAAGATAATTACTGTCATTTGCAGAAAGGAAAAGCTTTAATGAACCACTAAGGAATGCATATGTCACCAATGATCTGTCATAGAGAGATAGAAACTAAGTAATAGTATGGTTAATAGAGTTTGACAGGTCAATGCTGTGTGTCATCATTCTCGCTAGATTGACAACCTGCAGCTTTCCAAAAGGGTATTGACCTCTTTGTGAATACCTAAAATATATATTCGTATTCGTGTGGAGAACTGCTTCTTATGCGAGATTACATGTACTTTGCCCTTTATTTATTTGGAACCTCCTGTCATTGTCCAAAACAAGAGGCAACTAACATATGAAACATGTAGCTAAGGAGTTTGAGGCTTGAGGTTTGTTGACAACAATATCACTAATTTGATAAATTTAGAGCTGAATGATTTCCTTCAAAATTAAAATGTGTCGGTGATCATTGCCCTTATAGTCCGGTGTGTTGAGAGCCATGTCAGAGAAAACAAAAATGTTCTTTATCGTTCATATGATTAAACGTGGGCCTTTGAGAGAGAGAGAGAGAGAGAGAGAGAGAGGGGGGGGGGGGGGGTCCATGAATCTGCTTGCTCTGCATTCAATCCCCAAGTGGAAGCAGATCAAGAAAGTACATCTAGCGATTTTCAGATTAGCTTAAGGGTGTGGACCAAGTCCAGACTCAACTCTCCATGAATATGAAAGAAGTATTAGATAAGTACTAGTACCCCAGTTAAATCTGAAATATTTTGGAGGTTATTATCTTATGGTGTTTGAGGTTACTTCATGGAGGAAATCATCCAAAATATGTACCGCAGTTTGACGTATACCTATATGTATTATGATAAACCTCTTCTTCCTGCCACTTCAGACATAGAGACATCAATGTTGCTTGTCTTACATGTAGAATTATGTTTAACAAATGCCATTCTCTTTCCCTCTTTGTTCTACATAGAAAATCAATGAGTTCATCAGCGTTGACAAAGCAGTCATCAATTTCTTCTTTGGTCGAGGTGTGCCAGACTACAATAAGATCAAGGCTACTAATAATGATGATCAGAGGAGCCACATACACACTCCTCCAGACAAGTAAGTCAGAAAGTATTTTTTTGGTGCCAGTTTAGTATGAAAGAAGTGATCTGTATCATGGGCAAATTGTGCAGCAATATTAACTAAGGCTGTGCACAACAGTGTAATGAGGTACCCGAGTACACTCCCAGGCTCACAAGCGAATACTCAAATATTCGGACGCCATGTTTTTTTATTATTTTTTTGAATTTTTTTGAATTTTTTTGAATTTTTTTTTTTTGATTTTTTTTTTGCCACTACCATACCACTCGGCAGTTTCCCAGGTCCCTCGCCGAAAACGCATGCAATTTTACTTTGAGTTGCAGTTGAAGGCGCCGATTTTATAAGAATAATAACATTAAACAATGCTGTTTTAAAAACCAAAGATGGCAGAATAATCCATTTTCCTCCAAGTCCAAACAGAAATCTGGACATTTGGTCCCAGTTTCTGAAAGGTGAGTTTGACAGTGCTTGAGTTGGGAAACATTTTTACCGACGGTACCATGCCAGCGGTCGCCGCTTTCCCTGGCACGGGTAAGTGTGGGCCTGGACTTTTTTTAAATTTTTTTTTTTTTTTTTTATTCTTTATTTTTTTGTGGCCGAATATTCGGGTACGAGAAATCGTACCCGAGTAGTTGTCAACCGTGCGGGTACTCGAGCATTCGACTACCCGTCGCAGCCTTAATATTAACAGAATCCAACACTATGTCATTCATTGATTGGTATTCAGACTCAGATTCAGATTTTGATCGATTCATATTTACAAACTGAGGAATTCAGCCTGAATTGAATAGATACTGACATAGCAAATATAATAGTCATAATACAATATATAACATAGGTATATATGTCATGATATGAATGTAAATACTCTCCACACATATAGGAAAAGGAAGAAAGATAGATTGAGTTCAGTTCAGTTCAGTTTGTTTTATTATTATCATTTCGCAGCCTCAGCTGAATTACATGACAATTTACAATCAAGTTAAAAATAGCATCACATTTCATTTCTAAACATCATATTTCATAACACAATGCAAAGGTATAAAAAATAGATACTTTACATGAAGTATAATTAATATTAGTTAATCTGGGAAACATAAATACTTACAGTTTTCTTAACCTATTTCCAGAAAATTTCTTATGATAGCTCGTCTGTAGTTGAAGGAGTATTTGTGTTTGTTTTTGAGAGAAGGTTAGAAAGGGGAGAAGATGAGATGGAAAGAAAGGGAGAAAGGGAAAGGAAGGAGTCGAATGGGTAAAAAGAATGTTGTAAAAGTAAGTTTTTTTAGTTGAATGAAATACCATTACAGAAAATAGTGTGAAAATCACAACTGAAACACAAACTCCAGACTGTGTCCTAATAGTTGTATGTGGAATTTTGTGTTGTGAAATTCAATGCTTATATTATGTACAATATACTAGATAGTGCTATTACTGCAACCACTAATTGATGGCTTCCAATATTGCCTGATCCTTTAAGCTACCTCTCCTGCTTTAGAATTAACTCAATCTCTCTTTCTCACTTCCTCTCTCTTTCTATCCATGTTTCTCTCTCTCAAATCATCTCTCTCAAATCTTCTCTGTCGTACTTCCCCTCTCTTGCATTGATTTCCTCTCTCCCTTTTCGATCTCCTTCTCTCTCTTCTGTCTCTCTTTATCTCTGTCACTTCCTCATTTGTATTGCTGATAGATACACACACACTCTCTCTCTCTCTCTCTCTTTTTCTTTCTCTCTCACTCTCTCTTTCTTTCTCTCCCCCTCTCACTCTCTCTCTCTCTCTTTCACTCTCTCTCTCTCTGTACTAAGCAAACTAAAACTTTTGAAATCTGTCTTGTAGGATGACAAGTTGCCGTAGTTCCTTATAGAAATAATAGTAGGAATAAGAATATGTTCATGTACCTCAGGTATGAATACGTTTTATACAGGTTCAAAAATGAATTGCATACATGTGATGAAAGAGATGATTTAGGATAAAATATGATGTGGTTTCATCTAGGACTGTTGCCAGAAATATCAAATACCCCCTGGTCAAACTTTAAACCTTCTTTGGTGTGAAATAATTTGCTTGTTTACAAAGTATTTGGCAAGTGGTAATTAAATGGGGGTTAATTCACCGGAGCATATGTTCAGTATTGACAGACACAGATTAAAAGGGGATTAGATGGGCAGGAAAATAACATTGCCATGTCACTCTGGAAAGTATGAGTGATAATTAATAGAGTAAAACAAGCTGTTTTCATTGGATTATTTAGATCCTCTGTAAGTGAGGGCTTCCCTCTCTCCCATCCCCATCTTCTCACCTCTTCCGGATTCATACCCTGCATGCATCTCCTTTCTTCTTGCCCACAACTTAAAGGGCAACCCAATCCTTGTACTAAGTTGAATTGAGTGTGAGCACACAGTCGGAGACACAGGTTGGTAATCATTTGGAAGAAACCAGACAAATAATTAGAATATCATAAATGTTTGAATGTTGAAATCACTAAATGTGAATCTCGAAATGGGGAATCGGGCATTCAACTGTGATGTGATTGGGAACCTCTCTCCCATTTTATAATGTGAACTAAAATATGAATTTCCTGCTTTCTTCAAATTATTTTTCCTAATGGGATATACTCTAATGGATAGCAGGTTGTTAATATATAGGTCATCAAAAGAAGTAAATGATATCGCACTTTACAACAATGAGAGGGTTGTCAGACAATTCATCACAATAACAAAACTGTTTTGCCAAATTGAACTTGAATTGAACCATGTATCTCTTGTAACTTCATTTTTTTGGCCTTAATTTGTATTGTCTATTTTCATGCAAGCTGTCACTGATCTGTTTCTTGAGTGTTTTGGTAAAATTGCCCTTTGTAGTCTATAACACAAGCTTGAAGAATCACATCTTTTTTTTTAGGTGTTTTGCATAAAAATGGAGAACATAAAAATGGTGAAGCTGAAAAAAAATCACATATAGATTTTATTTGAAGTTCTAGGAAAAGTTATCACAAATAATTTACTATAGACAATATTAAGATTGTGAATGAATCAACTGGACACAAAGTTTTAAGTACATTACCATACTTGTACATCACAACATGCCTTTTCCTTTCCCTATCAGTGTATACGTTTGTGGAATATTATGCAGCTATGAGCTGGGGCCTGTTTATGAACAGTCCTATCATTCTGTAGACAGTATTTAAAGGTAAAGACCAGTTATGGTCATGCGATTGCATTGTGAAAGAAACGTTGTGGAATCCATCAGAAAAGGTTGATCATCTAGCATCTAGCATCTGCAAGGTTCTGGAATCATCAAAATGATAAGAAATTTGGCCCATTCATCGTAAAGTTACAAGCACTATACACAGAAAGATGTATATGGGACTACCCTATATCTCTCACAGACCATGAGAGAAACAAATTTACCAAATATATGAATTAGTAGGCAGTTTCCCGGCAAATTTTTTATCGTCATGTATTAGTCAAAACATATTCTTTCACATGATTGGTAATGAGAGCTTCCATTTCATTTTTTGAAATTGGGGCGTTTCCAATACTGGTCTTTACCTTTAAGGTAGCTGAAAAAAATTGGTATCCTTTCAGTATATAACGTAGGCTAAATTGTTAAAGGCCAATCAAGAAGTTTTTAACATCAAAATATGTATTAACATAGTTGTACTATTATAATTCGTTTGAAAGGTTTCTTCATTGATAACGAAGGCCAAGATTTAAAAAAAAAATATTATTATTATTTATTCGACCATTCATTAAAAAAAAAGAGCACAAATACAATACAGCATGGCAGGAGAAATAGGCTTTCCTATCACAGTTTGCATCAATGAAAATATGTGCTCCCACAATCAACAAGCAAAAATCAAGACATGATTTTCATTTGGTTAAAAAAATGGTGTCTCAAAGTATTGCATTATTTCACTTTTCAGCCATTTTTTTGTTCACATTAGAGTCTGGAAGAAAGGGAATAGATTTGCTATCACAGATTTTGATAACAAAACCATGACAATCATTTTTCCATCGCCAAAACAGCCTTTTTGCTATTTTTACCATTATCTCATACTGCGACTTTATCCAGGGTCTCATGGGGACATGTCGTTGGTGATTTCTTGTTTCAAGACTTTGAATGACCTTCAGAGAAAGGCAGAAATCTATAAGATGGTATGAACAGACCACATCTGATCTATGATGGCATCTGGATCGAAACCTCAACCAGGCTGAACTAGGCTAATTAATCTGATATGTTACACTGTTTTCTGATATGCAGTCTGTTTAGATAGTTTCCTTTGAGGATTAGAGAGTAAGGATTTGGCAAAGAGTGGCACATTTCCTCCAATCAGAAAAAACCCATTTCAATGACATCTAGAATTTCCTTGAACAGACCAATAGCATCTGTGTGTTCCATTTACGGTATTCAAGAAAAAGGATTAATAAACCTACTTATACAAAGTTTGAAAGGCTACTGCGTGGGAAATGTCTAGACTCTTTATGTTCTTTTTATGTATATTTGGCAGCCTTTTTCATGATATAAAAGGAAGAAAAAGAGACTGGACAATTATATGACCTCCATTAGGTTGAGGTATAAAAAGAGAGAGAAATCTAGCCAGAGAGTGATAGAATAAAGTAGAGGAAGGGGAGAAGGTTAAGTTGAGAGAGAGAGAGGCTGGGAAAAGAGGCAGGGGCCACCTACATGTACATTGCACTTTGAGTGTTGTTTTCAGCTAGTGCCATTTTCCCTGTTTTACAGGATTAGTAGGACAATTCTATGCCTATCCTTGTGTGCTTGATAGTAAATCGAATATCATCTCATCTAATCGATCAATGTAAAATCCAAAATTAAAGGAAATTGTTTAAAAAATAAAAACATATGAGAATTCAATATATACTACAAAATAGGGTGACAAGTACTATAAATAATATTATATATTTGATAAAATGATGCATAATTTTTAATGCAAAAATGAACAAATATGGTTGTACAAAATGTTGTGATAAAATGATGCTACACCATTTATGCAGGTAGAAATAAAAATGATGGTGGTACATATTGCATTGTTCATAACTTCATATTTATTCACATGCACTGTCAACAGTACCATGAGAGATAAATTTACTTTGAATTAAGAAATGATTTATTTTTTATCATCTCTATTTTAAATAGTTGGGTTGACCAGTACCCCCTTCATAGTGCTGCATATGAAGGTAATGCTACTGAGGTTGCACAGCTCCTTCATAGAGGCTACCCAGCTGATCAACCTGATGTACATCTATGGGTACCACTTCACTATGCATGTTGGTAAGTAACTATTAACCCCTCCCCCACCCACCTCCCCCTCCTTCATTCAGACCAGCACAATCTTTGTACCTAGGAACAGCTATTTAATAAGGAGTAAATACATTTAATCTGATATTGTACAACAAAACAATGTTTATAAAAATGAAATTTTTAGCATCATTTGAACCCACAACTTATTCCAATGTCCATGTGAACTTGGTATTGATTGAAAACTTGGCAAGACTATTAAGTAAGTGCACGGTGCAGTCTTTTGGTTAATCTAATTATTTTTGTACTTGAGATGGCATCTCTTTACCGGGATCATTGTGTAAAGATACAATCTACCATACAAAATGTATTTTGATTTTTGGGGTGACCGACAAGTATCATGCGCAGGTTACGTGAATTTAAAAGTAGTATTATGCGCAGGTGTATGCCCTTTAATCAGTTGGACACCTGGTGTTCAGGACTGCGCACAGTACACACCTAGCCTCATAGGACCATACTCATAGACCCAGATTTAATAGCCATTAGGTTGTTGGATGAAATGAATCATCTTCTGTAAAACTGTATCAGCTGTCAGCTACACCTGCTTGAAAACATACTCAATACTGGTGTGAATGGGCCTACCCGCCTGATATTCAAATGCTCTCATAACCAGCCATATTTTACACCAATTAATTATGTGGTATATCCCAATTTCTAATGATAACCTTTTCATTTTTGCAGGAATGGACATGTGGAAGCGGTGAAAACTCTCCTTCTAAATCACAACTGTTCACCTAACACAGAGTAAGTATTGATAAGCCGAATCATGCTATGTTTATAAACATGCAAGTCTTACTTAGATCTATAGCGATAGGCTTTGTATTGTCTCTAGTGACATTGGAGATGTACATGTATTCCCTCGTACCATACTTTTGCTAAAAGCATATGTAATTTATAGAACTGCATGTGCTCCTTTTAAACCAGAATGAGAGTGTAGAATTCTATATGGTTCACTGGTAGTGTTAAAAATGTTAATACAATGTAGCAAATACCTTTTACACATTATGTTTAGAGTTTAGGTTTTATTTGTGTTTACTTTGGAAAAAGAATTTCCAAACATTTTTTTAGGCTAATAGATTATATTTTGCCTCAGTCTCAAATGTGGACTCATAACTTCCCACTCTATTATTGAAAAGAAAATTCATTTGTCTTTTAATTTTATTAACCATCTTGTGTTTCTACCTTTAGGAATGACAGTGGGTCAACGCCGCTTCATTTCTCAGCATTCAAAGGTCATGCGGAGGTCGTACGATTACTGTTGAATCATAGAGACATTGACAAGGTATGTTCCTTTACCTTAATACAAAGAGTGGTATCAGAGTAGTGGTAACAGAGTGAACAAAGTGCTGCTCATAATGATTCAGTGTGATAACTAGTTGCATACTTGATAGCTTGTGTAGTATAGTGTTATCTGCTGATTTCAGGAATTCTATAAGAGATCAGGATGAAAAAAAATTCATACAAAAGTATACTGGTATAGAAAAATTATGATAAGTGGTACACTGTTACAACAAAAGTGTTTTAAATTTAAAGATGTAGGTATCTTTTATATTCTTTATTATATACATAAAATAGATATTGAACATAATAAATGTTCAATAAACTTGATTTCTTCTTATTTCAGTTTGTAGTGAATAAAGAAGGAAGAACTCCCCTGCAACTTTGTGAAGAATCCAGGCAACATGACTGGGAAACCACAAAAAAACTACTCAAGGAAGCCAAAGAAAAACCAGTAAGTGTGTCATTAGGGCTGTTATCATGACTATGGTTACCAGCATTTCTGAGAGAAAAATTAGGTCAAATACTCTTTTCCAAACTTTGTGCTATGTGTAATCACTACAATGCCCCTATTCACCCTGTTTTATGGTACGTAACTAAAATGGCTGTAGTGTAATGAAAATGTCAAATTTTCAGATAATACCCATCATAAGTTTGAATAACCAAACAGTTATTCAACTCAGGTAACTTATAAACAGTGAAAAGTAGCTTTGGCGGAGAAAAAAAACCTTGGGATTCAGACTGAACCAATGTTTCCTTGTGTGAACAATTCTTGTTAATTGCCCTCATTACGGATGTAAAATTGTGTATCACTCTCCTTATAGCTGATACTGTGGAGCATGTAGAGCACCATTCAAATATTGGCATTTGAGCTTTCATATATATGGGTACACATGTAAGGCTCAAATGATGCTTTTCATATTTCCATCATGACTAGAATAAACAAAAATTGTGTTCTGCACATATCATTAAACAATTTTTTGAACTTTAACTTGTTTTGAGGAATTTTGAAAGAGGCAGTCACAATGACTAAATCAATGTGAAACTAAGCTTCTTCTTTTTTCTTCTTCTTTCTCTTTAGTCTCACATAAAGATTGATGTACATCTAATGGACCTGGATGGATCACACGTGGTACTAGATCTAGAGAAAGGCAGTAATACATTAATAGCAGATCTTGTTCAGGTTAGTAATACAGTTCATATAAAGCTATAACAATGGTTCTCAGCTTTGGCTTATGACCCCATTAAGGGTAATCTGGATTATATTGGGGGGGGGGGGGGGGAGGGGAGGGGGGGGGGGGGGAGGGGGGGGGGGGGAGGGGAGGGGGGGGGGTGTAGAAGTAGGTAAATTTTATACTATAGCATGACAGGATATTAAAGGTATTACAAAGTTTTGATAAAGGGTCATGAATTTGGTTCAAATGAACATATTGGATGCATATGCGATCCTACAATATTCAGTGATTGTTGTCGCGGTTGAAATCGAGTCTAAAGTGATAAAATTGTAAATAATGAACTCTTTATGTTGTATAGCGCCCTCTCAAGAATGATATTACTTTAGCTTTTAAATAATGTTTCTTGACTACATTAATTAATTAAGCTTGTAATACAATGTAAAGCGCATAGAGACATACCTTGTATAATGCGCTATAGAAATATAATTTATTATTATTATTATTATTATTATTATTAATCAACCGATTTGCTATTCCCGTTTTGAAATTATATATCAGAACTACATATTCTGAGATTTTCATGGTCGCAGCTACCATGGAATGGCCTTAGGCGCTATTTGATATATTTGAAATTTAATTTGTCGAAAGCAGAAGTGTAAATTTTCTAGTGCTCATTATATATCCACAGGGGCATCCAAATATATAAAAATTGTAAAGAATTACTATCGATCCAATTTTCAAAATTTCCCAAAACTTTGCATTACCTTTAATATGGGGGGGGGTTCACGACACTGACAAAAACGTAAGATCGCAATGGCTAGCAACCACCGTGTTAATAAAAAAGACAGTGTGGTTGCAAGGTAAGAGTTGATTTTCATTCTGATATCTTCATTTCCAACTATCTGCAGAGTAATTTATTGTGCACTTGATAAGGAAACTCAATACGGACTATCTTGGTAAAGAATTATATTGCTATAGAACCTTACTCGTAAAGTCCTGTTTTGTTTTATTCCCTATTTTAGCAATTGCAGTTACCGAGAGGTGGTCTTCAGATCTTTGCTGTATGGATTGCTTCACAAAACCTGCGTAAGTAAAAATGGACAGTAACAGCATAGTATGAACTATTGAACTATAGAACTTCAAAACATCCAAACAACCTAGAACCGCTTCTCATTACAAGGGATTGCCCTATCTAGGATGCACTAGATCATGCTGTCTCAAGGTGAAAACATGGTAGTGTATTTATCAATAGAGATATGAACATAGTTGAGAAATGCTATGACCCGTTTGAGATCTTAGCTACTTTAAATATAGTACTAGCATTGAAATTGAGATGAAAAAATATATGAGAGTATGACATGTAAAATGAAAACTAGTTCATATGCTTTCATGAAGTAAACTTGTACTGTGAAGCAAGATTTTAAATGTAAATATGAACAATTATCTTCTATGGACATATCAAACAAATGAAATAAAAATGAAATGAAATATGAATTTTTGTTCTTTGCAGACTTACAGATGCGCCCAGAGCATAAACCTGTGTTACATTTAAAGCAATGGGATTCCATCATAAGACAACTCACTAACTACAACCCTGATACAGAGCGCCCTCTACTGTATCTCAAGAGAGATGCTCTACTCACGGTGGAAGAAGAGAGAACAGTGAGTGTTTCTGATTCTGATTCTGTTCTGATCCTGGTCCTGATCCTCAAGAGGGATATATATAGTTGACCAATAAGAACGTTATCGTTCAAGAGAGTGTTTGTTGCATCTAGAACATTTCGGAATTGAGTCCCATCACATTGCAGTTGTGGGGAGGGACTATGATTATATTACCCCTTTGGATTGCTTCCCAGAGTCTGGTTTTTAAGGTTTCAACTGAGTTGCAGGCAATGCTGCTGGGGGTGCACAATCTTACATGGGATATCTCATGTCTGTCAAAGATTTTCAATCTTTTTCATGAGTTATCGTCTAGAATATAGTGACAGATCTATGGTGACTGAGTACTGGAATGGGGAGGCCCAAAACTTTGGAAAACTCTCCCAGTACTGCTACGCTTAATGACAGATGTTGAAGTGTTTTTACAAAAGCACTTAAAAGTTATCTTTTCAATTAATGTTTCCATCTATTATAAATTGTAAAGGGCATTGAAAGGGCCTGTGGAATTTGTTCTCGAGAGTTATCAACAGCTGTCACTTAAAATGTCATGACAGATTGTATCGGGCAAAGGAATTGGTAGTTTACTGAGAGGTCTTAGTAAACTGCCAATTCCTTTGCCCGATACAATTGACCTCATATCAATAGGAGAAATAGAAAACAAGGAAGATGCCATGACCAATGAATTTATTGGGACTGTACAGTCTCAATGTTGGATTATATTACATCATTCTACTCCTTAAAAACTCATAAAAATAAAACAAATTTGGGTGATCGTTATCTTTTGTACATTGCATGAACCCTTGGTTAACATGAGCATTCTCATAAACAAAATTAATCCTCCTGGGAGTGGAGATTAATCTTACTCTCAATTATCATATTTTTTCTTGATTTAGATTCGAGATCCCCAAGCCATCAAGATGCTGTTTGATGAGTGTTTGCTGAATGTATTAAAGGGAATGTATCCATGTAATGATGCTGATGTTATCACACTAGCTGGTATCTATATGCAGATTACATATGGTGACCATGATCCTAAGAGGCATAGAGCAGGATTCTTGAAGTAAGTTGAAAAACCTTTCAGTACTCTCTCTCTCCAAGATCCTTTAAAGTAGACACACAAAGAATCAAAAGTGTTTTGAATTGATGCAAAACTCATATCATTGTGAAGGGGAAGCCTTACTTATCAAATACAACAACTCTCCTCTTCAAAATATGTTTGGGGCCAGCAGTAATCAACTTTCAAAAATGTTAGTTTTGAGATCCAGATTTTCTGCCTTCAGCGGTCCTTTGTAGAGCGTCAATATTTGTGACGTCACACACGGAACACTGCTGGCTAGCTGCAGACTAATACACGCACGACTCTGGTACTGAGCTGTTTGTCCAGTGTTTGACGTCACTATTCAGAGCTCGCTCCGCTCGTGTGTTTGGCTTATGTTCAGGGGCGTTCGGGGGTCTAAGAAGAGTCTTGAAAAATTGCATTTTACGCCTTTCCATGATATTTATATGATTTCTCAGCAAATTATTCATGTTTTTCAAGAGAAAATCTTTCCATCCATATGTAATTTGTTCTAATTGTCAGTTGTAGTGAATTTTTCTTTGTGTAGCTCCTTTAACACAAAGCTTAGCAATTGATTATTTGATTGTTTGATTGTTCATGGCTATGAATTTGAAAATTGCATTCAGTTGATTTCTTATCTGTGTGTTATGTGCCCTAGGTGTTGTATCTATAGACTTTGGCAATCATGCTGCTCTACGATTCTTGATCTTGAGCCTCCTTTATCAGTTTTATCAGTTTTCAGTGTTATAAGCAGATATGAATAATTTATGAAGTCATGAGCTGACATTCATGAAAGCATACTAACCTTGGTCCATGTCTAAACCCTGATTAAATTGGTTGAGTTAGTCCACATATTTAGGGAACTAAATGTCAGCTCCTGTATCTTGTATAGGTAACCATAGTACTCAAACATAAATGACTACACAATATCATGTCATCATGAAATTAAATTAATCATAATTTAATTACTTTGTATGAAATAAGGGTGTCATTAAATGTATTCTTAGGTATATTTCTTTATTATAAAAGGCTTTGTAATGAACAACTTTTATATTGATGTTGTACAATATGGTAGATCATAATATCAAATAATGTATGGGAAAATAGTTTACCCCCATAAGTATTCACTCTCATGCCTATTTATGTTTTGTTGATTAATGAAGATTTGATATCACACTTTGAATTTGATTGATTTCATTGTAGCAACATCAACCTGAGGCATTTCATCCCAAGCATCAAATTAGAGGGTAAAGGTCAAAGCTCAAGGAGTACAAACTGGGCTCAGAAGATTGTTAATGAACATCGGAATGTCACACAGAAAGGCATTAGAGATGTCACGGTAAGTGGAAATAAAAGCTACCTGGTATGTATTCTCCGGAGTGCCAGAAGGGCATTTGGAAAATGATTCAAGTTAATGCCCTTTTGGCTCTCATTATTTGCCATGTATTCCTTTAAGGTTTGTTGAAGTTGTACAAAAAATAAATGAGTGTTCATTGACCTAATACAGATACATTTGTCACACAAAGAAAAAGCTGACATTAATCATTGTAGTGGCATATGGTGTGTTGACTCCATACTGTATTCAAATTATAAGTTAGCATGGCACTGGTTTTTTAAATGTTTTTTTATGTAAGATGAAACTGTTAATTGATTTATGATAGATTCTGAAATATGTGTATGAGAAAAATGCTCTAATCAGCACTTGTATCAAAATATCTTGCATTTTTCTTGCACAAAGATTAAAAAAAATATAATTGTTAAGGCGTGTTCCGTAACAATTGCTCACATTTAAGTGCACATATTTGTTTAGCTTTTGATGACATGTTTCTGTTCTTTTTCTCAGAAATTACAAACGATGTACTTGGAGATTTGTCGGTCCTTCCCTGTGTATGGTTCGGCCATATTCTTTGGGTCAGCACAGCTTGGTGGTAGCCGGAGAGGTCAAGGAGGGTCACAGAGGTCACCAGCTGCATTTGTTGGGGTCAACTCTAGAGGGATACATCTCATTAATGCCATCAGTAAGGTGAGGGTTGTAGTCTGTTGTTGCATCCAGTGTAGAAGGCTCTTCAATCATATCCATTGATATGTACTCTCTCTGTCTCATTACATGGTTCTCTACTCTCGTCTGTGTTAAACCACCTTGTCCAATGATTGTTGTTAGTCTTTGTGTTTGTCCAACTCATAATGCTGCTGTAAACCAAGAACTTTCTGGAATCAGTAGCTATGGCCATTATCACAGTAAGAGACTTGTGCATATGTAAAATTGCAGTGTTATTATGTGATTCCTTTACGCATTAAATTCTTGCCAATCGGACCATTCACAAAGATTGCAAAGTATTTTGCATCCAAACATTTCTAGTCTTACACAATCTTACACAAGTGCTTGTTATTTTGTTGGTATAGATGATGTTTCATGTATGTTTATATTTGTGTTTATTCATTTATTTATTTGATGGTCTTATCTATGTTTGTTTATGTAGATGATGATTCTGAGTGTTGGATACAAGCAAGGATTGACATGGGAAATATCAAGTGACATGCAGACATTGACTCTACTCATCCAAGATGGCAATGGCTACAGGTCTCTACCAGTTAAGACTAAACAGGTGCATAGTACTGTGTTATAGGAGAGGAAGATGCAAACAATGGCTATACAGATACTTATGAATATATATTGGGAGTTTGATGACACATTGAAATAAAATGGATAAAGTGAAATATTTTAAAAAGTTAGGTTTCATAAGACGAGCAGTCTATAAAGAAGATAAAAACTGATATTTCTTGGCCTCTTTTAAGAAATATGGAGTTCATTGCACATTCAATAGTAGTCAGTTTAATTTGTTATTCTACCTTTGATGCGAGGCTATACTTGGCATCAGTAACTGTAGACTTGAAATTTGTCCTACTTAATTGTACCATTTCGGTGGTTAAATTGGTGATATTTGTTGTAGTTTTCTTATGCTACTTTCTCATTTTTTAAATCAGGATATAGCTTATAACTTGTTTTTCGATTTGTGTTTACAGGCCGCCATCATCAGCAATCTAGCCAATAAGCTTTCAGGAAGAATGAGTCCAGAAGATCAACCCTCGACGAGTAGAGCCAACAGCTTACAAAGACATTGATCTGTAATACCTTCCAACTAGTAAAGCCAACGGTTTACAGAGACATTGATCCGTAATACCTTCAACTAGTATAACCAACGGTTTACAAAGACATGGATCCGTAATACCTTCAACTAGTAGAGCCAACAGCTTACAAAGACATTGATCTGTAGTACCTTCAACTAGAAGAGCCAACAGCTTACAGAGACATTGATCTGTACTACCTTCCAACTAGTAAAGCCAACGGTTTACAGAGACATTGATCCGTAATACCTTCAACTAGTAGAGCCAACAGCTTACAAAGACATTGATCTGTAGTACCTTCAACTAGTATAACCAACAGCTGACAGAAACATTGATCTGTGATACCTTCAACTAGTAGAACCAACAGCTTACAGAGACATTGATCTGTAATACCTCAACTAGTAGAGTCAATGGTTTACAGAGACATTGATCCGTAATACCTCAACTAGTAGAGCCAACAGCTTACAGATACATTGATCTGTAATACCTCAACTAGTAGAGCCAATGGTTTACAGAGACATTAATCTGTACTACCTTCAACTAGTATAACCAACAGCTTACAGAGACGTTGATCTGTAATACCTTCAACTAGTAGAGCCAACAGCTTAAAGAGACAGCTGGTCGTGATTGAATGGTTCTGGGATTATACATCTGATGGTGTAAAGCAGAAGCTTGTATTCAATGTTTCTTTATGTAGTTCACAGTATCTTTTTTCCATCCAGTCTTAGGGTACAACATAGATGACAACTGTCTTACGCTCTTAGCTCGTTATGGAAGATTTCTGTGCACTCCATTTTAACTTTTTACCTCAACATCTCTGTGCTGACAATCATGGTATTGTCAATCACCTGCAATAAGGCTGTTGTAGCTGTGTGTTGTCAAGGAGGGTAGTGAGACTAACAGCCTTATTGCAGGCAGCTAATGATGCTCTCTTGTGAACTCAAACACTGCTATTGGTTCACAAGAGAATGTTTGCACAGATGAATTAGACTTAGTACAGTACTGTGTAAACCTCAACTATTCTACCTACATGTATCCCCTAAAATACTTATAAAGACTCCAGTATGAAGTGAAACTTGTTTGATGAATAAAGTTTGCTTTGTACTTCATTATGACAAAGAAGCCAAGGCTTTCTTTGAGAAAGACACATAAAGCAATTTTGAAGTGTTGTATAACCAAGTATGAAGAAACACATGTGAATGCTTGAGTGGTTATCCATTCTGCCAGAGTATACATCTAACCACGCATCCTTAATAGCAATCTTGTGTATTTTCTAATCTACTGTTGAACCTATATCTCACTTTCATGTGGAAGGTGAATTTAAAGAGTGATATTGGAACTTTATTTCTGATTGATCCCCTAAATCCCATCAAACGCTTGTTTCTTAGTCAGTTATAGTATGTGCTCCTATGTGTTCTGTTTCTCATTATCTATGCACAAATTCAAACACTTCAACTTTTCCAAAAATTGAAATGTGCATCTATCGTCTTTAAGTGTGAGTAGTAGCTCGTTCACTGCCAATATTTCAGAATATATATCGGTTATCAGAAGGAGAAAATAAGAATGAAGCAGAATCTTCTCTGATTCTATCTTTATGTCACGGAAGTTAATAATCCTTTGTTCTTCTCTCTCCTTGTGTGTTTACCATATCACTTTCATTCTCTAGGCTTCTCATTCTTCTTCTGTATCTCTATTCTCTTATTTCTCGCATTATATCTGTTTCTTTCCCTCCCTCCCCACCCCTCTTGCTCTCTCTCTCTCTCTCCCTTTAGTTCATCATTTAAGCCAGCAGGGTATATATATATATATATATATATATATATATATATATATATATATATAAAAGTGTGAGAATTCTCAACTTTGACATGACTATATATATATATATATATATATAGTCAATATTGTTTGTTGTAATAAATTATGTCAATAAAGATTGTATACATGTATACTACCAATGAATCACATTATATTACTGTAAATTAATGCTCATGAATGAAAATATTGTCAGTTATTCAGACTTTTGTAAATGTGTGTATATATTTTGGATATAAAATGTATAGATAAAGTTTATAGTACTAGATGTAGAACATATAATCATGATGGCCCGACATGCTCTGATGTATGTACAGGTCTGAGATGAGCATATCATCTGTTTGGAGCCAGAAGGGTGTTAACTCATACTCTAACACAGAGTTAATGCCCTTCTGGCTCTGAATGGATGATATGTATATTATTTTAAGCAACTCATGTAATTGTCAAGTGCAACTTTCTAGTAGTTTCTTTGTTAAGAGCTTCAATCAAGGTTTAATCAAAATGTGATAAGGAATATTCTATGTTTTGTTGCAATTATGTTATCTTATCTCTGAATAATATGTTTATTAATGAATGAAGTATATTATGTTTAAGTACCCGCCCTCCCCCCCCCCCCCTTTTTTTTATTTTATAGATATGACGTGAGAGGTATTATACCTTTGGGTTCTTGTTCCGTCCACCTTACTATCTTGTTTTGGTGATATGTCAAGAATCATTTGGGTAAAGGGACAAAAAAGATCTCAATATAGAATGCATATTAGAAAGAATACTTTGAGAATTTGTATAACCTTTGGCCATGTTTTCAAGTTGCATCTGTTTTATTGCCATGGAGAAGGACTTTCTAGACTGGGATGATTGGGTTGGTGGTAAAGTCAAAATTCCATTTAGAACCTGAATATTCACAGATCTTGCAATCAGATTTTGTATAATCAAACAGATATTTTGCAATTTATTGAAAAGTCGTTGAAGATCCTTGACCTCCATGCTCTTGATATACATCATTGGTCTTGTAATAACATCACAATGATCTGTATGTGTCAATCCTGTGGATATAACATGTGGGGTTCTCATATTGAGAGGTCAAATACAGTTACATCCATTCCATTTTGACATATTCTAGTCCACCAACAATGGATCAATTTTCACTGATGAAAATTTGGTTGTGGTCATTTATAGTTATGTGAGAAAGGGACGCAAGTTAACAGACGTATATGATTTATTCACTCGTGGGTAAAAGAATGTAAATTAGGCATACTGTAGATGATTGTACAGGATGCACAGATTTCCTCTACAATGTATTCCGAATGTGTAAAATGACATAAAATCACTCCTAGCCTTCATTGATTAATACGGTGGTCTCAGATAGCAGGTCTTTGCGATTGTCAGAAGAAAGCTTTCGTTAATCATGTGTATGATTAATAGCACTTTTTTTTTCCTTCCAAGTTTCTCTTCTGTAATTTGGAATGGCCAGTTAAAGGATTGTTGTTTTATCCCTTACTTTTGTCCCTCATCTGTCTTCAGCCTCATTCTCTTAGAACTGGTCCCCTATGACCAATAATGATATCTATAAGTTCATCTATAAATATTTCCCAAGTCGATCTCCTGAAGTTTATGTTAGAATCTATTAGATATATGTATTGCAGGTTCCTGCTCACTGATGTACATCAATGCTAATGGGCCTTCATAAGTTTGTTGTAGGATCTGTGGTATTGCTCACGATGCGTTTTCCACTTCAGAAGATCCATTTGGGAGTTATTTATATTTCTAGTCACTTACCATTATTGATAATATGGGACTGGACAGGTAGGCATAAAGATATGATGCAAAGTAACTTCACTATCATTGCTACAGCTAGTCTGTATTCTATTTATTTGCAAGCTGTATGAGGTACAGTTAGGATACTTAAATATATATGCATATGAATATAGAGAGCATAGTTACATAATCGAATGATTTAGGTGCTCTCATGGACATTTTTATCAAGCTCTATAAAATTATCTGGTAATGTCTTTTGCCAAAATTATTTTGTTATAGTGAAACAATAAAAGAATATGATTTTTATCAGAGATTTTAACTGCAGTCTGTGCCATTCTTTCTTCATCACGGTCATCCTATGTTTATCAATCCCCCCCCCCCTTTCTCTTTCTACGTTGTACCAAGGACACTCGTAAGAACTGCACCTTTACTTTGATAACCACTCATAAAATGAAGATTTCCTTGGTATAGAGAATCTTGTTAATTTGTTAATTCAAGGTCCTTTCATGTAGGGTTAGGGTTCATGAAAGTAGGTCCTCGGTATTGCAATTAATTTCCAAACTGGCCTTGGTATGTTATATTTCCTCAAAAAATGTGTGTCTTCAAATATGTAATAATATACTGATGTGTATTACGAGTCCTTTACACCACAAGTTTGCATGTGTGTGCGTGTGTGTGTGTGCGTGTGTGTGTGTCTCTCTCTCTCTCTATCATCAAACATCCCAGCTATTATACTACAATATCGCAATGTGGTTCCACTTCAAAATGAAATAATGCACATTAATACATACAAAATGATAGTATTCTATTTTCTCTGACTCTTGTTTTATTTCTACATATTAACATATTTACATTACAGTTTCAAGTTTGACCCTTTCTCTTACACTAAAAGCAAATATATGTATGGTATCTCTCATTGCATCGTCTAGGAACCTGAAAGAAAAAAAAAAGTTTTCCTCTGTAGAAAAATACATGGTAAAGATATTTCACTCAGCGCTCAGGAAAACAAGTGAACCAAGACTGTAAATATTGTTTGTGTAAGTGAATGAGGTTACATGACTGATGGAATAGTCACTGCATTTCAGGGGAGAAACATTTATAAATATCATACAGTTCACTCACAGCATGCATAAAAGTTAGATGTATCAAATAAAGAAGACTCGATGCAAAGTAAATGCAAATCGACAAAATCGTTTTACAATGAATTTTTTTGTACAGGAAAATTAGAGATAAAAATGCACAACAAAACTGGCATATGCAGTATGGTTTCTACAAAGGTGATCTGGAGTTCTAGTAATTGGTGCTATACCTTAGAAGAAAGACGTTCTGCAATGTTTGTTACAAGGTAAATAGGATATTTGCCCTACAAAAAGGTACTGGTCAAAATTGCTGATAAAATAATCAGAACAATAATTGAAGGGCAAGTCAAAGACCATGGGATGTGATCATGTGCCTATCATGTGCCTATCATGTGCCTATCATGTGCCTATCATGTGCATATCATTAACAAGAATAAAGAAAACTCTACAGAAAAACCACATCACATAATTGCAAGTGTAATTTTCTTTGTGATATGATTCTGATCTAAACTCTAGTAAGGATACCAACTTGATAAAATCATTACATAATACTTCAAATTGTGGTGATGTCTGTGACGTATGGGTGAAAATTTGGACTTAATCTGTAAAATAATACCTACTGTAGCAGAACAAATACTGAATTTAGTTTGTTTCTCTAACCTCAAAGAGAAGGGACAACATTCCTGATGGCTGAAGGAGGATGATTCAATATACATTCATGTAAATACTGAATTGCTCATTACTTAAATTGAGAACTGATCTTATTACTAACATGAATGAGCTTTGGTATATTAATTTTATCATCCAGTTCACTCTGTACCATAGGTCAAAGTTCAAAGTTTATTTTTACAGATGACTTATATTTACAGTGGATAAAGAAAAGAAAAGACAGAACAAAGTTTTAAATATTACATTTTGAATAAGAACTTACTAGGATATTACACACATACACATCAAATTTGAAGACTAAACTGTACAAATATAGACAATAAATAATACAAAAGAATCAAGGCTTGTTAACGACTACTTTTCTGACTACATGAATTAATTTGTAAAACAAATTTTTGAAGCAAGGGATGTATGTTTCTTTCTCATTGATTCTAGAGTTAAAGTGAAAATCTAGTAAGAATGAAAACAAATGAAATCAAAATAGAGTCATTTCAAATAATTGACAAAAAGATGCAGAGAAGTTATTGTTCTTGGGTGATAATTCAATTTCTTACATCTATGATTACATTAACATTGCAAATTGTAAGAGACTGTTTCTGCCCTCCTTGTTCCTAGCCTAGGAAAGTATGTTACTATGATGGCACTCTTTACTTGATATCATCTAAGTACAACTTTGTAAAGCGCTTAGAAACATTGTAATAAGCGCTATATAAATATAATGTATTATTATTATCCAGTTTTTAATAATGTGAGGTTATAAATGTGAAATTCAAACCTTTTTAAGAATACAAGACTGTAGACAGGGGAGGATATACATGTCTAATAGTTGGGACATGAAGAAATGAAAGTAAAAAAAGACTATATTAATAATAATATTTTCTTTTTAAATCACTGATCTAAACATGACCAACAAAAAATCTTGTAACAACAACTTGGAATGATTTCTATGTTTAATAATAGTTTACATTCTGAATATAATATAAAGTTTGGTATTATTTAAATTGATCAAAATACAGACCAGAGAAAAGTGCAAAATACATGTAGTCAACAATAACATTGGGAATCCAGCAAGTGACATGAAAAAGTTTTCTCTGTTTTCTAATTTTTGTAGCCATGTCAATGAAAAGTACTGTACTGAAATAAGCACAAAAAAAATCACCATGAAGGAAAATACTAACATTACTGCAACCATCTAATAAGACTATCAATGAAAAGAATACTTGCAGAATATTTCACTCACATTAAAAATCTAGAAATGATAGTTGGGATTGGGATGAATACTAGAGAATAGCTGGAATAATTGCATTCAAACAGAAAAGGAAACCACAATACATTCAATGTAATATTTGTAACTGCTTAATACATTATAAATATTCCATGTGTCATATTTCATATTTGCATACTATTGTGCAGTGGGGTGTACTCATCACAGATGCATGCAGCATTAACACAAGAGATGTACTAGCCAAATGGTTTCAATGCTTGACTAACAACACTGTGTAAAACCTTCGGGTAAACTACTGCCACTGCCATTGTATAAACATGAAAGTCAACTTACCGGTATGTCTATACTACTTCGTCATGCTGATTACTTTTCAAACTATAACCTTCCCTTGGCTTTCAACTTTAAAGGGACTTCAGATACTCTTAATCCTTTCTTCCACAGGTACCCTTTCTTACGTGAAAATCAACTCCTTTAAGATTATTATTCAATATTCAATAATGATGTTTGCGGTTTAAATGAATTATAAGGTTTTGTACAGAAGCTTGAGATTGTTGGAAACTTAAATATTATATAGACATTTTCTTTTGTACAAGTTATATCAATACTAATTAATTGTAAGTCACGCAAAAATTCAATTTTTGTTGGTATTTTTATATACAGTGAACTCAATGATGAATAGATTGCATTGCAAAACTTTAGAGAGTGAAAATGAATCAATTTTACCCAAGAACCTGATGGGTCTTATTTTTCCAGTCTATTTATAGAAATATTTTCAAAATGTTATGAAATAATTATGTTTTTTTGTTTACAATGTGGAGTAGGAGTACTGTTGGATGATATGTTTGATACTCGTTGTGAGTTATCTGTTTAGTACATATGGCCAAGAAGAATGGTCTTCAGATGATATTTGAACTATTCAGTTGCCTGACCTGAGCTATATGAAGCCAAGTCCCACTGATAGATAAATAAGTATTCACATAACATCACATTGATTTATTATTGAAGTTATTTGCATTATGAAACAATAGTCCAAAGGTTACTATGATTCAATGTGAACATGCCCAACCTATAAAACTTCATTTCATAATCAATGTAGATGACGCATACACACGAGACCTGTTCATTTGGATGAACATGTGAGGCCCTCCATGAGGATGTTTGAAGACCACCACGACTTATCCATTCAGTTTCAGCTCGATTGACATGATAGGACACAACTCCATTCAGGTTAAAGATCAGAAGCATATAACAATCAGAGCATGGTTATGCTTTGATGTGTGAATATATCCACAGAGGCATACTGAAAACAATCCCATGTCACTGTAATGTCTTAGGGTGCGTTCATACAATCCTCATCATAATGCAATGATCTTGTTAGCTTCTCTGATTCCACTGAGGTAGGCTCCTGTTACTGTCTGAGGAAAACTTCTATTTGTTGCCTGAAAGAAGAACAGAACAAATTGGTAAGCTCTTCCATTACATTACTGACAATGCTTCCAATTACAGCTCAAATACCCAATTCACTTTCCCAAATGCTTTTATCAAGTGTATCTGGCTAAAACAGATCCCTGCTGATCTGACTGAGAGAGCTTCTAATTTGCAAGTGTGAATGGGGTTTAGTGAAACTTCTACCTGTTGCAATGTTCCCTGAAGTTTAGTGTAAATCTCTAAACCCTCAATAATGTCAGGTTGATTGGGTTGACTGTTGATTAAACAATATCTTTACAACAGGATTACAAGACCCAATGTAATTTGAAATTTTACAAAATTCAACTCTTAAGTTCAAGCTTGGTGTGACTTTTTGATCCCTAAATGTCCATGATGTAAATTAAATTTAGATCTTAACATTAGATGTATTGGGGAGTCAAAACATATAATCTTTGCTACAGACTTTAGAAGAGCCATTGTTCTCAAACACAAAATTTAAAATTCTTGAGAATCTAAAGATTACTTACTTCTCCTGCAAAGAAGATCTTCTCATCGATGCATTCAGCCAGGACATCATACGTCTCTCCGCTAGCACCGGAAGCTATGAAGCTATATGACATACCAGCAAACTCATCCTTGTGCCACTGGGTTACAAAGTACTTGCTTGGGTTGGGAACCGTCTGCAAAAAATGACACCCCATATTTTATCGATTTTAATCTAATCAATGTTTCATTTTTAGACAAGGTTTTTTGAAAGTATAAAGTAACATTGCACATGTTAGGTGTTATGGTCCAGTGGATAAGTCTCCGGACTGTGAACCACAAGGTACAGGGTTTGAATCCCTGTTGCAGCACTAACATCCTTTGGCAAGACATTAATCTACATTTGCCACACTCGACCCAAGTGAGGTAAATGGGTACCTGGTAGGATTATTCCTTGAAATGCACTAAGCGCTGGTAACGGCTGCCAGAGCTAAAGCTAGGGTAACAATTTCCAAAGTTCTTTGAACCGCATAGGGACATTATATCATAATGTGTTTATGCGCTATACAAGAACAGATTATCATTATATTACAGACAGATGATAGGGATAATGTCTATGTCATTCCTCCCAACATTCTACAGTAAATATAAACAATTTCTGTATTTACAAATACAATGTCTTTTGTGTGCACTGACAAATAAGTTTTCAGAAAAGGTGAGGAATAACACTAATGAAATGAAGGCCCTTAAAAAAGGAATTTTCAGCAGCTAAACTATTTAACTTTGTATTTCCTATCTTTCTCTCTCCAGTGAAAATAAAATGAATTCTTAAGGAGTTAAAGCTCACATATTCCATATGGAAAATAGTTAGAGGCAACCATCTAGCAGAGATCTCAGATTCTTACCTGTTTAGGGAAGAGTTTCTTGAGACATGACAAGCATTTCTCCATCACTTCTTTCTCCGTCATCTCCTTGAGTTTCTGTACAGCATCACCACTGATGATTGACATCAACACATTACTCTCTTTATTCTGGTGGTAAAAAAGACAAAGATACAGATAAAAACAAATAATTTGTGTATTTATCTTTGATTCTTTACTTGTATGATCTTGCATGATAATTCACATCTGAGCTTATCTATTAATATCATATGGATATAAAAGAAGGGCTATTGGACACCTGGGGGTGTTTCACAAAGAACTTATCTATGTTTGAACATTAGGGAGAGCCATTTGTAGCTTTAAAATAAAATATTCAAAAGCAAAAATTCAAGTATGTTAGACTTATCATAAATTCCACATCAAGAACATGAAATCTCCTTGATAATAGAAAATATGAATGATTAATATCAACATTTTATGCTTTTTGAAATAAATTTTACAAAATATTTTCAAAGATGCTAATGGCTTTCCATAATTTTTAAGTCCAACTTAGGATCTTTGTGAAACACCCCCTGGTCATTGTTTCATTACCATCTTCCTGTTAGCTTGGTGCTGCTGGTAAGTTCTGATGGAGCTTGTCAGTAAAACAATTCATTGATACTTGAGTTGGTATAGTGGTGATGCGTCTGGTATAACTATACAGCTACATTGACATCAATCATGGGCTGCATCTTTTGGATAGTGTTATCAATGGTTAATCTCAAAATATTATTACTCAAATCTGACTGTTACAAGTCTGGAAAAACATAATCTATAATCTAATTGCAGTAAAAAATATTAAAATGGACCTACTTTCTGGTAGGCTTGATGCTTATAACGGTACAACTTTTACTACAATGGCTTATTCTGTATTCAAATATGGAAACAAATTCAAACAACACAATGATTGAGCTTGCAGGTCAACTTACCCCATTGGACATGTCATAGAAGATAGAGAAGAATCCTCTGTCAGCAGGGTCTGTTGGAATGTAACCAAAGTAGTCTGTCTCTTCTACTTTCTTCTCCCAAAATCTGGAGGGAAACTGCAGCCCAATCTGTCAGAGAAAGGATAACAATCTTTTAATATTCAAAATATTATGTATTCACATCTAAGCTTTTGGAAGAATTGTTCTTTTAAAAGCCATTTGAAATAGATGAAAGACAAATATGCTTCAACTCTGTCAAAAGTATATAAAATAAAGATCCATACAGAATGCAACATAATTTCATTTCAAGGAGACACAATCTTGTAAGCAAACTGCTTGCAATGACATAAAAGAATAAATGGGTAAAAGAAAGCAAATCTGACCCAGTTAAGAATTACATTGTGAATTTCGTAATTCTAACAGATTGTCCAATTCATTTCAAATCATCTGTAAAATAGGTCTATTTTAAACCATGGGGACAATCCTTCATATTGAATTTTACAGGGTAGGATAACTGTACTATTTTTCACAGAGAAATGGGCTTGAATACAAAGGTCTGAGAATGTACTTTACCTTCTCAATGATCCCCGATCCTAGACTGTTGATTGCTTCTAGTTTGTCTTCAGGTAGAGGTGGTGTGAAGCTGATCACTTCAGACTGGAGTAACGCTAGAGGGATCGTCAAGAGAACCTGAATCATACAGAAAAAGGAGATTCAAAAGTACAACTTCATAATACACATTTATATATCTCTGATTTATACACATTTTTAGTGGCCACCTGTCTACAAAAACCACATTTTTTGTTTCCCTTAAAAATGGTTTCGACATGTATGACTGTACTACTATTTTGTATTATTCAAAGCAAAACTTTTCACAATTCAAGCAAAGTACTGAATTTTATACTGTCCTCTTCTAGCTTTCAAAAGTTATTTTGATTTGTCTGAAACTAACTAATAGATGTAGGTGTATGTGCCAGGAAACCATGACCAATAGTGATCCAACAAATGCTTGAGTGACAATTAGTGTTATGGTTAGGTTTAGTGTATGGTCCAGAGCTGAAGATGTTAAATCATGTACACAGAGCAACTGTTGCTGGAGTATGAGACACACAACTGAACAACACTGTAGTACCATACCTGCCAACATTTGAAAATAAGAAATAGAAATTTTTAGCAAGGTATGCCTTCAAAAATAAGAAATCGCACTTGCAGTGGCAGTGTAACTGGCAATACCCGGTAAATCTGTACCAAAAAGCGAATACAAATTCGCTGCTTGATCATGCAGCAATTCAACCCACACAATACATGAACTCTCAATTCGCGGCACATGATAAAACAAGCTTAATTTGGCTTTAGCACCCCCCCCCCCCAAAAAAAAAAGAGTTGGCAGGTATCTAGTACCTTCACCCTCTACGGTGAACATCTTTTACACAATAGCATGTAAATAATCACATTTTGTCTGTCTTATGACTATAGAAATATCTTCTATGGGGATCAATTTCAAAGTGCATGTAATGTAATGTAAGTGTACTAAGAACCAAAATTGTCTACACCTGCATATCTACATTTGTTTTCACCAGCTACAGTAGTGGAAGAATGTAAGTGAACATGACTGATTACCTTCTGAGCTGTTAATGTCTGGCCATCCTTGAGTGTAATGGTGATGTCATCAGCTGAATGGTTGACAGCCGTAACTTGGTGTTGTAGTCTTACATCCAGACCCTTTGCTAGTTCAGTAAAGACTGTGTGATAGCCTTCTTTCAGGAGACAATGATCACCAGCAAACTGAGCAAAGGCTTCGTTCTGATCCCAATGAAGGGAAGAAACCTTGAGATAATAAGACAGGAAGACTTTGACTGTCAGTGGAGTAAATAAGTGTACGCTACTGTATGTATTGAAAATTAGGGGATGGGGATTATGATTATGAATAGATTAATAACAAATAATCATAGATAATTAGCAATATACAACATTTTGAAGCAGCTGCCTATTTCTTTAAAGCTTTAAATCAAGAGGATGAGGATTTAAAGTGATAAATCACTGATTACATTTTTAGATAAGGCAGTTTATCTACACCAGTCTTTCTGAATCAATCAACTTGTAGGAAGCTGATGCAAAGCAAGGAATTAACTATTATTGTTATTATCATTACATCATTTTAGAGAGAGAGACAATTATTAATCCCACTATACAACAAACATGGTTACATTAATTGAACCCCATTCTAAAGTCTTGTTCAATTAGGACATCGGGCAGAGCTGAGGAATGAAATGGGTTATAAAAATATTGCAAAATTATTTACTTTACTTGAATCAAAGAGAACTGTTGCTGAGCTAGCGCCATGAGCGTCCCTGGACGGTGTGTGTGCTCTATAAGTTTACACTATTTTTATTATTATTAAAATGCATATAAAAAATGTGTATAATTCATTTACCTGTATCATTGTTTTCATTTGCCCTTTTCCTTCTATTTTAGGTGATTTACAGCATAATGCCCAAATAGGCATTACATATTGGCAATCTTCAACTTACCTTTGCTAGATTGCTGCCACATGCATACTCTAGATTACTGATGTGAAACTGTAAGAGTCTGTCTTCCTCCGCTGAGAATGTGAGATTGGTTTCATCCATGAAGGTCTGATGCATCTCCATGATTTTCTCTGAGGAACACACATAAAAGAAGTGATGATTAGAAACTTAAATGGAACCATAAGATACCAAAACATATTCTATTTTTCATAATGACATTTGATCCCAGTTTACATCTGCCATTTATGATTAACGGCTATCACTGGTCTGACATTTTGTCCGCTACTATAATGGCATTGACTCATATACTTAAGAGCAGAGTTAACAACCTTCTGGCTCTCCAGAGACAATTGATAGAATTTTGATGTACTGTTCTATTCTGCTAGAAATACTTTAACACCAGCCTTCATATACTTTACTGATCTCTGAGAATTGTCTAACTTTTGTTTTAAGTGGCCCAAACATTGTGGAGTGTGTGTGCAGCGCTTTGTAACTGCAAGGAAAAGGTGCTATATCAAATATCTTTTGGATTAGATTGGATTGTTCTGTTGTAGAGGGCCTAGCCTAGAGTCATTTCTGGATATGTGTGACAAAAAAAAACCCTCAAGATTGCTTTTTTTTAATGATGGTGTCTGTTTTGTATTGAGTTTCACGCTTCAAGCACCCGATCCACTTTACAGTATCTGCTCTATCTTGTTTGGTTTCTGTCTCATACGAAAAGAAGTTTACTCACTGCCTAGAGGTGAGTCTGAGCTTGAGAACTTGTCTTTCCTCCATTCAGCAATGGCATCTAGCATCGCATTAAAATGAAACTCAACCCGTTTGTCTACATGTAAGTCAGTCACCACACCTCCCTCTCCTAGCAGGTCACAGCGTTCATGCATCTTACGCAGCTTGAAACCACCCTGTAAAGAGGAATGCATTCAATAAGGTAAACTGATGGTATTCCGCAGCTCTGATGGTATCTGATGGTATTCTACAGCTTTGATAGTATCTGAAGGTATTCCACAGCTTTGATGGTACCTGATGGTATTCCACAGCTTTGATGGTATCTGATGGTATTCCACAGCTTTGATGGTATCTGATGGTAATTACAATATGATAGTATTCAAAGTGTAATTCATTCATGAAAATGAATTCAATGGTATACCTTTCATAGCCATTATATGCAAATCTGACTGAATATCAAAATTAAATATGAAAGTGAGACTCATACCACGGATGGCACTTGATATAGAACATTCAGAATGAATACAATATAGCATCATTATTCATCAGTTTGACTGAACTTCAAGGATCATGCTTTTTGTTTGCTTTAACTGAGCCACATAATAACTGAAAAATAACACTATTTGCAATTTGCAGACTTACTATCATTAAAGATATATGAACATTTCATCTAGTGAAAGTATTGGTTTTAACAGTAGATTTTGTATAACTCATAAGAGATGGGTAACTCACCTGTTCACACATGAGTGCAATAGGATTATTAATACATCCATTAACAATCTGGGCTCCTTTACCAACACATGATCCTAATGATTGATCATCCCAAACTCTTCCTCCAATCCTATCCCTAGCCTCAAGCATTGTGACATCACAACCCATGTTAGTCAGGTGACGGGCTGCAGCCAATCCTGCTACTCCTGCTCCTATCACAATGATCTTCCCCTGTCAAACCACACATTCAAAGGAAGAGAAGTCTCACACACACATCTATGATATTGCATTTTTTCAATATTTCACAGATAGACATGTATAGAAATAATAGAGCAACAATAATATTCTGTTTGTGCATAGCACATATCAAATTATGACATGAGCTTCCAAATACTAGGGATAGACTATTCTGACTTGAGCTTAACTACCAAGGTAAAGCTTTGTGGATTATTTAGCAATACATGTAACACTACGGGTACTAAATATGCAAAATTTCATCACAAGAATTCTCAGGGTGATCTCAAATTTGCTCTCTACTTTATTTCACCTGATATATACGTTTTAGGTTCAAGTTGTGATTGGGTCTAAGGTTACGTTTAGTTTTATGATAAATTTTAGGGTAGAAGTTGAATACTTCACAGCCATAACTACAAGATGTGCCATAAAATCATTCTTTCCATTAAAACCCTGGTCTTTTCTCTTCTTTCCTTATAACAGCAAAATTGTATGACATAGATCTGAATATAGTTATTTTCCTCCATTTGTCCATCTCTACTAATTATGGTCGGAATTTCCTGAAAATAGGTCCAGGACTTACCATCCCCACATCTCTACAGACTTGGAGCTCCTTAGGAGGGTCCCTGAGTAGTCCTGTGTTGATGAGTCCTTTCCGTGTCAGAAAGGCTACAATCGGTTCCAGGATCTCAGAACATTTTATCCTCACCAAGCCTCTCACAACGAGTCTCTGTGTACAGATATGAGCTGTCAGGAATTCCTAATAAAAAAACCAAGCAGATTATAAACAATAAACATATGTAAATATTAGCTCAGATGAATGGAACTAGGTTCATATCAGATTGTTCTCAGCTCTATGGAAACATGGGCAAATAAAAGTTATATTGTTCCATATTTTACTGACCTCACCTAAGATTTTTGTATACTTGATTATTGCAGGAAGTCAATAGCACTTCTAAGAGTTGAGATAAGACCAGGGAGGTGTTTCACAAAGATCCTAAGTAGAACTTAACTCTAAGTTGGACTTAAATATTATGGAGAGCCATTTGTAGCCTTAGAATAAAATATATTCAAAAGCAAAAATGGAAGTATTTTAGACTTTTAATCAATTCCACATTGAGAACATCAAATCTCCTTGATAACAGACAATATGAATGATTTGAATCACCATTTTATGCCTATTAAACTAACTTTAACAAAATATTTTCAATGATGCTAACGGCTTTCCATAACTGTTAATTCCAACTTAGAGATAAGTTCAACTTAGGATCTTTGTGAAACACCCCCCAGGTGTGAAGAGAAGTTAAACACAAGATGACAATTTACGTTCAGAACTCCTGGATACTTGGTAACATATGGACACCAAATAAGTGAATACCCTAGACTTGTCCAGGGGGGCGTTTCACAAAACTTGTCATCAGTGACAAATGCGGTTTTTGTTATAAGCTACTGAAATCCTTGCTTCTGATTGGTTATCAGCGGATTTGTCACTGATTTTTGTCAGTTGTCATTAGAAAAAGGCTTGGTGAAACAGGTCCCAGATACTTACTTTACATCTCTGAGCCCACAAGGCTAGGACCAGGTTCCTGAGAGCTAGATACATCTGTTGCTCCCTCTCAAACTCAGGGAACTCTTCCACTTCCTCATGCTCCATCACATCAGGGCAGATACACAGAGCTTTACCCTGTTCATCCGGCTGGTAGAATGGCTGGAAGTATGGACTCACTCCTGCAGCTGATGGAGCAAATGGAGTAATCATAATCAAGATAATAACTATCTCTTTTAAAGCCTGTCTGTACTAGTTTGGCCAGGAGGGATTAGACCACCCAGAGTGGTCACTGACAGGTGGCTATCTCATCAACTCAGCTCTCGATTAACATAAGAAAATGAGGATCATGAGGGACCAACAGGCACTGCTAAGGCATTGTTTTCTATATAGAGGGAGCAAGTAACTATAAGTAGTGCAGTGGGGCTTTACAGCACCTTACTTGTTGTGATGTAACAGACCAAAGCCCTTACAGTGAGCACCAATAGAGGTACCATGGTCTAGAGAATGAGTTATCAGACTAAGTGGATCACATGGTAAACCAATGGAAATCCTTGCCTCAGCACTGTCCTTTGACAAGTCATCTATCTACTTTTCCTACCTCGACCCAGGTGAGGTAAATGGAATCCTATTAAGACTCAATTAGTTGAATTTATATTAATATATAAAACCCTACCCTTTTTTTTCTTCTTGTTTCTACATTTTTTTTCTCTGTCATGTCTCAATTCTCCTAATGATGATGTTTAAATATACCACACATAAGAAACAAAGAAGATACATACATAAACAATAAACATGCAAACAGTATTATCTATAACATGCACTGAATCTCAAGTTAGTTCTTCACTTACCAAAAGGTTCTTCTCCTTCAGATGTCAATGAACCTAAAAGAGAGAAAGACAATAGATGTTTAGTTTATCTTCATCAATCTGTATGATACCACAAGAAAATGATGTTGCTAACATAACAGTACTATCAGAACTTTTAAATGTGGATCTTATATTAAATATCAAAATGTATAATGTTGCACAGACAGTAGTACTGATTTCGATTTAAACACTTTAGACTACCGAGTACTGAAACTAGAATGTATAAGATTGAACAAACAACACTACAGAGACAGCATACCCATGTTCAGTTTCATATACTTGAAGAGTTCCAATTTCAACCCTACACAAAACAACAACTTACCCTTTCCTTTCTCTACGCTAAACCCTTATCTAAACCGGAGACCTAACTTATAATCCAATCGCATCCCTCATCTTACATCTCTGACAAAATAAAGTATGGACAAAACTTCCAATCCTCAATATGTAAATATGAATTCCACATTGATGTAGTCAATTACTTGAAAGAGAAACTGACCTCCTTTCCTTGATGCTATGGGACAGGATGCACTGAGACCCACTCCATCAGGGAAGTAAGATGTGAGGAACGGAGCAGCAGGAGAGGTCTTAAGGAGTGGTGGCATGACGAGGAGAGATAACCATTCTAGATCAAACGTCTGTTCAACACGATGGTCCTGTAGTACGGTACAATGATCTGATGGTGTGCCCTGTGAGGAAGGTTTAAAGGGTAAATCTAAAGCTTTAACGACAGTGGAGAAATGTCCAGTTTGTTGTTGTGATAGTGAGGGCTATTAAACATTTCAATGGTAGTGTATGTGCCCGACCAAGTAGTCCCTGGACTATCATTGCCCAGACAACACAAGTAGTCCCTGGACTATCATTGCCCAGACAACACAAGCCCAATTTGACAATTATTCCCTGCACAACAACTATTAACCCCCGCCCCTCCACACCACATTGACAGTTCCGCTAGGACAATTTACTCTATGACGGCTACAAAAAGGTTTGTTTATTTAAGGTATTTGCCAGGGGTAATTGTTCTATCTGCGGGGTGTTAATGTAGGGGTTAAAAGTGGAAATGTCTCTTTGGATTCATAAGACATGACTGTTCTCTCTTTACAAAATTATAATGCTATGATCTGATTTATCTGGTCTGCTGATGTTCACTGCATTCTGGTACCCTCATTCTTGACCAACTGTAAATTTGATCTTACTAAACTTTATAAATATTGAAAGCAATAGCTGACCTGTTTTGCTCCTGCCTCATATCCGCAGACATAGCTCTGTATGATCTCCAGTGTTACTATATTCTTGGAGGGGAATTCTCTCCATTTGCCACAGCCAGGTTGGGTGCATTGAAGCCAGAAGGGAAGCACTTTATCTGACATGTAGGACTTGAGACTAGGCTCAGTCTTGCCATTGCTACCCCAAACACGCTTCCAATTAGAGACGAGCTGATAACCTTGATGATGGCTACAAAATAGACAGAAAAATACACAGCAGTTTATAGGTAAGGGATCTAGAGTGGTCATTTTAAATTTTAAAAAAGCTCCAACCCAGAAGTAAGGTGCTTTTCACCAGAAAAAAAATCCAAGGAAACATATCCATAAAAACAAATTAAGGTAAAAAAAAAGATTATGAATCATAAATTTCAGAATATTTTAAAGACTAAGGAGATCAACCGATTTTGAGACAAAGTTGCAACTCAGTCATGAGTTTGTAATGACATTCCCTCACTACTCACCAATGTTTTGTTTTTGTGTTTTTTTTACTTCAAGTTCTCACAAATCCTTGTTAATCATTTCAGATGATTGTTTTCATTGCTATTATTATTATTGGAAATGGTGTATGAATAGTGTTGTTAAAGGTAAAGACCAGTATTAGAAACGCCCCAATTTCAAACAATGAAATGGAAGCTCTTATTACCAATCATGTGAAAGAATACGTTTTGAATAATACATGATGATAAACATTTTGCCGGGAAACCGCCTACTAATTGATATATTTGGTAAATCAGTTTATATATTGGTATGTGAGAGATAAAAATGCATGTATTGCGCAAGTGTGCGTAGTCCCATATACATCTTTCTGTGTACAGTGCTTGTAACTTTATGAAGACTTGGCCAAATTTCTTATCATTTTGATGATTCCAGAACCTTGCAGTACATCTATGCTAGATGATCAACCTTTTCTGATCGATTTCACAATGTTTCTTTCACAATGCAATCGCATGACCATAACTGGTCTTTATCTTTAAGGTAAGATCTAATGACCTCTATAATGTGCTTTTGTACAGCCTTATTAGAAAGGGTAAGTCAAATTTGAATACAGGCTTATCAATTATTATCAATGCACTCACCTTCTGTAGAAGTAGTCAAAGCATTCATTACAGTAATGCTCTCCTGCTGAGAGATGATACCATCTAGCTGTAGAACCAGCACCAGCACAACTACAAAGAAACACGAGGATACCATTAGCAACAAACCATGCAACAAACTCAAAGGACAAGCAACCTTTCTTATATGCATATGGTACTTGAGTAAAGCATTGAGATAACAAACACAGTTTTGTTCAAGTTAAATAAAAGGAAATTTGGTGCCTCACACCAAATTTTGTTTACAATTTACTACAGAGATTTCATATTTTTTATGTACTAATGCCTAGTACAAGAATAAAAGTAACCCCCTCCCCCCCCCCCCCTGAAAAATACTCCTGGGTTCTGCCATTGGTCCTTAGAGGCTACGAAGATCGACCTACAACTCAGCAACTTGACTGACAAAATGTAGACAATATCAGCATGTAAGAGTCTTGTGATAAATGGTTTGAAATGTTTTGCTCACCGATCTGAAGCATTGGCAAAGCATTGTGGGATCTTGGCTGGGCATCTGCTCTTCTCACAGCTACGAAGAGGTTTCTTGGAGTCCTTGTCAGCTTTCCTCTCTTTCTGCCCCTCTGGTGATTTCTTCTGGCTGGGTCTAGCAGTAGACCTTGGGGCACTGGGAGTGGCCTTGGTGCTGGTTGGTTTGGGTGTGGTCAGTTTGGGTGTGGTCAGTTTGGGGGAGGCAGCAGCTACTGGTGTGGATGATGTTGGGGGTTTCTTTGGAGTTTTCTTAGGAGGTCCTGGAGATTCCTCCTCCTCAGCATATTTTGCTGGCTTCCGTTTGATTCTTGTTGACATAGCTTATTAATTGTATCCTGAAACAAAGCAGATGATCAGTATAAATATAGATTAATTTTCAATTGATGCATAACATACTTAAGTACTATACTCTTCCATCGGACTCTTACAGACCTAAATCAGACAAGTCGCTTTTCAATTTTCAACCTTGATCATTTCAGATAAATATTTGTGAAAAACACAATTGTTTATATTTTTTTTACTAAGAATAGTTAATATACATGTAAGGGTGTATTTTGTGTAAACTATCATATGCAAATATGGGGGGGGGGGGGGGGGGGGGCACCCATCTAAAAAAAAAAAACTGATTCACTGGTCATGGAAGATCAGAGACATCTCCGTAGCCGTAGACATAGCTGGTGAATAAAGTTATGATTGTCTTGACCAACCAAAAAAAATACACGGGGGCGGAGGGCGGATTCGCCCGGGAAAGACCATAAACAGCCCCCGAAATAGGCTCAAAATCCGATTTCGGGGGCGACATCAAAAAGTGAAATGATCTCAAATCGCCCCCGTAACGATTACGAGCGGTCGCGCGCCCTCTTCTAGCTTCGTATTCATTGCGTGCATTTCTTGGTCCGCGCGCTGAATCTCCGTGTAAAATTGTATAAACAAAAATCGGTCGTAAAAAAACTCGAACCATATTCCATACCTTACCTGGCTTACCATGTCGCACGCAAGTACGCCAAAAACACGTACATTTTCGCAGTTGCGAGAGATCGAGACGGAGCGTAGGGGTCGAGTTTTTGGCGGTCGATTTTGTTTTGGTAGAAGCTGAATCTAGACCATGAACCACTAAATGATCGCGAAACTGCAATCAATTTCCATCACGAATTCACGATTGCCGCAATTTTATAAAGTTTCCATAAATAGAGGTATGAAATTAAAGCCTATTTTGTGATATTCTCGCCATGTTTACGTAATTTTGATAATCATTTCTTAAAAGTAAAGAAAATCAGACAAAATCACCGTGACTGACACGCATTTGTACAATACAGTGCATTGCCGCTGTGCAGTGTGTGTGAGTGAAGATGGGCTAAAGCTCCAACACCGGCAGCGCAGGCGTCCGGCAGCGCAGGCGTCCGACGCCTGCGGCGCCGGTGTTGAAGTTTCCTGCAGCTGCAGTGTGGGCGTGAGTTGGGCTGAGCTCGAGTCGAAGAGATTTGACACTTTGAAATTGTTATCTGTTGGTTTGCATCATTATTGGCGCGATTTCAATCTAGTTTCGTGAATAGATTTACGAAACCTGAGCTTAGAATTAGTAAAAGTATTACTAATGTCTATGTTTTTAAACGACTGTCTGATTTTCTTGTGAAAATTTTACTTTGAAAAATGATTATCGAAATTCATGGCCAGAAATAGTCACAATCTAGGGTCTATTATGTTACAGTTCTTGCATCAAATCAATACATGAAAACTTAGTTATTGAACTAGAAAAAGGGGTTTCTTTTTTAATAGGCAATTATGAAGCAGGAAGCCCGAAACCTTAGCCTACTAAACAAATCTCAACAAACTGTAGGCCTATCCTTTTATGAATTAACGAAAAAGTAGCCCCAGAAAAAAGAGCCCCCGAAATGGAAAAAGAGCCCCCGAAAGTTGAAAAAGTAGCCCCCGAAAATTTCCCCAAAATTTGAAATGGAGCCCCCGAAATGAAAAACTTAATTTTTTGCCTGGTCTTGACGTTGGTTTCGAAAGCAGCCCCTGGGGTACAAGGTTATCTTAAATATTATTAGTGGTCTAAATTCTCTTAAGTGGAACTCTCTCCAAGACAGACGCGAAGCTCACCGTCTAAGCTGTTTCCACAAAATGTCACATGGCCAGCTGGACATAGACCTCTAGATGCCCGAACCCACATTAAACCTAAACCAGATCATAGCAGACGTGGGCACTCAAGTCAGTTCAAAATACCATTAACCAGATTAGATGTATACAAGAACTCATTTTGTCCATGCACAACCAGAGCATGGAATAATCTCGATCCGATTTTAGTATCCCTGACTGACTCAGCAAAGTTTAAAGTAGCACTCCTTCCGAAATAAGTCCACCCTCTGCCACCACGACCTCCACTCCAGTTTAAATTCCACTAGGAATCTTTTGGAGGAACAACAACCAAGTACCAAGTACCAAGTGATCGATTGACAGTATGCAAGAGAGTTCAGAATCACACAGAATTCAGACTGAATATACACAAACTTCGTAACTGACCACTCAGAGTCAGAATCTCACTCACACGTCACACATCAAGCTAAAAAAAATATCTATAAAATGTACACCTTACGCAAAGAGGAAAAACAAGAAAAAAGATCAAACATGTAGTGTGGAATTGTTCTCAAAATAACACAGAGACAACTGAAATTTATGAATACAGGGGCCGGGGGAAAACTCTATCCTCGTTTCGCCATCAGCCGAAATTCTCAAACACCCTGAACTTGCCATCTTGCCCAACAAATAAATCTCCGAGTGGGGCTGTACAAACTCTAACGGCCGAACAAAGACAAATATTAATTTCATTATTTCACACCAGACTTCGTATTATTTCATTGACGTATGCACGTATCAGTGTTCATACGTTCAAATATTATTTTAAAGATAAAATTGAGCATACATTACCTAAATATGAACGTTCAAGGTCTGGTTGCAATTCGACATTTGACACAAGCTCCGACCGCGTTCATAGAGGTCACGCTACGGACTACAGTATCAGACGCCAAATGATTTCATGCGCGCGCTCGATGCCCAGTCCAGGGTATGTGAGTTACCTCCCTGCCCAGTCTATCCAAGAAGTTGCTGGTAACTTCTTGGTCTAGATCTATCTCAAAATGCCCTCTTTATCTGTTTATTGTTTTAGTAGGCCCTATGTGACAAACATTTACCCCGGCATTTTCCATGAGAACCTTCAGTTTGTTCAATTAATCGACTAGAGGAAATCAAGAATTTTGATTGATAACGACTGGCGATTTTAGCATGAATAATTACACAAATCAAAGCAAGCACTTTGGAGCATTTTTTTTTTTGGGGGGGGGGTGCAATTGGGTACGTACCTATTTTACCCGGGCTATTTTATTTATTTTCAGTCTTCATTTTATGAATATTTATGCTTCAGTCATTTTACAAATTTCTCCCATTTTATTGTTTTTTTTTACAGGGTTTAGAGACTAGTCTCCGAGTCAGTGGTGTCTTGAATATTTGCTGTGCCCCCACTCCGTGAACGGAGGGATACCTACACCGAAAATTTCTGTCTCTTTCGTTCGTTAGCCTCTGATATGGGTAGGGTCGGCTCCTCTCTTTTGGGATACCATGCGTGTTCCCAAACTCTCCGGCTCGTAACAAAAGAAAAAGGTCTACCCGTATTGACTTTACACACCGGACTTTTGCTGAGTGGGGGGGGGGGGGGGGGGGGGGGGGTCGCTGGAAACACGCATTGCATATGCGTACCCGAAATAAACACTGAGTGGGGGGGGGGGGGGTTATACACATCGGGACTTATTGAGATCGAGGCTGGAGTTCACTCGAAGAACTTGTTTCGATAAAAGTCAGATTTGCCAATTAAAAACAAATGTTGGATTGCAAGTCATTGTTTTATGTACATGTCTATTAAAACATCTATTGATTTCTGAAAAAGTAGCTATGAAAATGAACCTTTCAAGGACGGTGTTAACCTGACTTTCTGTATTATGGGGCAAGCTTAGCTGTCGGGGCAAACCTTCTTTTTTCCCTCAGGAAGGGCACTGATTCCATAAAATGAGGTGCATAATTAAATTTGTTCACTGGACAAGGGCACCTTTTTATTTTGGGGGAATAGCACTTCACCCTTTTCAGCTTCAGTTGACTTTTACGATTTATTTTGGCCAGCAATTAGGCCAAAATAATAACAAAAAATAACGAGTTTCTCGAATTAAGGAGGGGAAGGGGGTGCGCGGATATCGACGATAATGGACAAGATGTTGGCCTACAAACTACGTATTTAGCTATGGCATACTTTTTTGTTGTTATGTTGACTATTCATGAGGCTAGAGTACTTCACATCTACCCACTATAACAAATTACTTGATTGCTTAAATTAATGTCCTTCACATTTTGAGCAATGAGATGATAAGTTGATGTCCCCAGGCGCGGATCCAGGGGGGGGGGCCGAGCGGGCCTTGGCCCCCCCCCCCCCCCCCCCCCCCCCCCCGCAAAAAAAAAAAAAAAAAAAAAAAAAAAGAGAGAAGAAGGAAAAGAAGGGAGAAAGGGAAAAAGGAGAAAAAGGGAAAGAAAGAAGAGGAAGAAGAAAAGTAAAGGGGGAAGAAGAAGGGGGCCGAAAGGGCCTTGCCTCCCAGGCTGTTAACCCCCCCCCCCCCCCCCCCCCCCCCATCAAAAAAAAAATAAGAGAGAAGGAAGGAAAGGGAAAGAAAGAAAAGGAAAAGAGGAGATACTGGCGTACTGATAGAGGGGGGGGGGGCTTGGGGGAAATCAAATTCAAACGTGGTTTATTTCTGATTCCACAACGGTGTATTACAAAAAAATGCTGAAATGACATAATTTCCGAAATTTTTCCTCACTTTTTAGTAAATTATACGTTTGTATGTGTTTGTTGGAAAATAAAAAAATTCCTAAATTTACAACCAGCAAAAAAAAATATGATTCTTGAGATTCCTACATGTCAGGGCCCGAGGTACGGCGGGGATCGAGAGCCTCGAGGCATCAAAATATGCTCATCTGACCGTGATTAAATGCCTAAAACCCCTAAGCTTCCGGGGGCTTGCCCCCTGGATTCCATCTAGGGCCCTACGGCGGGCCCTTAGATGATCATCTGACGGTAATTTAATGCCTAAAAACCCTGATTTTTTGGGGCTCCGCCCCCTGGACCCCACGTCAAATAGTGACTTGCCAGTGTCACAAAATAATAAGGTATACACAAAAATATGCTCATCTGATCTTAATTAAACGCCTAAAACCCTGAGCTTCCGGGGCGGCTCCGCCGCCTCGACCCCACCTCTTTGAAATTCAGACAAGGATTAAGAGTATAGAGAACGGTACAACGCATCGTTTTCTTTCTCTAATAATAAAACGTCAAAGCCTCGCGCAGGAGGGGAGGAGGGGGGGGGGGACCTGAATTGAGACGAGGATTCAGAGGCGAGAACGGTAATACGAATCTTTAATTATTTAATGAAACGTAAAAGCTTATGCGCTTCGCGCGGGATGGAGGGGGAACTAAATTCCGATGAGGATTATTTTCGAGAACGGTACAATGAATCGTCTTCTTCTCTAATGATTAAATGAAGATTAAAAGCTTCCGCGCTTTGCGCGGGAGGGGGGAACCTGAATTCAGACGAGGATTAAGAGTCGAGAACTGTACAACAAATCGTCTTCTTTCTCTAATGATTTAATGAAACGTAAAATTTTTCGCGCTTCGCGCGGGAGGGGGAAAAAACTAAATTCAAACGAGAATTATTTTCGAGAACGGTACAACGAATCGTCTTCTTCCTTTAATAGTTAATATAAAACGTCAAAGCTTCCGCGCTTCGCGCAGGAGGGGGAGGGGGGGACTGAATTTAGACAAGAATTAAGAGTCCAGAACTGTACAACGAATCGTCTTCTTTCTCTAATAATTTAATAAGTCGTAAAATTTTCCGCGCTTCGCGCGGGAGGGGAAAAAACTAAATTAAGACGAGAATTATTTTCGAGAACTGTACAACGAATCGTCTTCTTTCTCTAATAATTTAATAAGTCGTAAAATTTTCCGCGCTTTGCGCGGGAGGGGAAAAACTAAATTCAGACGAGAATTATTTTCGAGAACGGTACAACGAATCGTCTTCTTTTTTATAGTTTAATAAAACGTCAAAGCTTCCGCGCTTCGCGCAGGAGGGGGAGGGGGGGGGGGACTGAATTTAGACAAGGATTAAGAGTCCAGAACTGTACAACGAATCGTCTTCTTTCTCTAATAATTAATTAGTCGTAAAATTTTCCGCGCTTCGCGCGGGAGGGGAAAACTAAATTCAGACGAGAATTATTTTCGAGAACGGTACAACGAATCGTCTTCTTTCTCTAATAATATAATGAAACGTCAAAGCCTGGGAGGGGGAAACTCGCCCCCCCCCCCCTGCACCGATCCCTCCCCCCCCCCCGCATTACGTCACTGTTGGTCACCATAAACGTACCAATATTTGGCTCGCATAATTTCAAATTTGGGCCCCCCCCCTAAGAAATCCTGGATCCGCGCCTGGATGTCCCATCCATTATCCAGGGGTGGTGGAGCGTCTTACAAAGTGGGGGGGGGGGGCACCAACACAAGGGGCACTTTCTGGGAGAAGGGGCACCTACAGAGGGAAACCTCAAAGTGAAAATATGCAATTTTTTAGACATATACCCTACAATGACTGTGATTACATTATCAGGGATTATTTCAACGTTGTTTCACTCTGTACATGATCCAAGATACTGCTTAAGCATCATACTTTGCAGCTGGGTGTGATGGTCTGATATATAAATAGGTATTTAATTTATAAAAAGTTATATAATACAGAAACATAATTATATCAACTTTAAATGCGAGCGAGCGTAGCGAGCAAGCTTTGGGCGAAATTAATGAAAAAAAAATACACTTAGTTGCTTTAAATAATGAGCACATTTTATGATGAAAGGAAAAAAGGGCATATATACAAAAGGAAAGAAGCTCGTGTTAAAGTAAACAGAGGAATTATGAGAGGTGAAAATAGGGCACTTCTCGCACCGATAAGGGGCACACACCAGAGATGAAAACGGCACTAATGAGAACAGAAAGAGGCACTTATTACAAAAGATAATTAGGAGTAATTGTCAGAAGGAAAATGGCACTAATTAGGAAGAATAAGGGGGCTCGTGTCAAAATAACAGAGGCACTTATCGGAGCTTAAAAGGGGGCACTATGACAAAGTTAAAGAGGGTATCTTTCAAATTTGAATAAGGGTACTCACCAGAGATGAAAAGGGGGCAATTATAAGAGGTGAATGGGCACATATCAGAAGTGGTAAGAAGCACTTCTTGTACCTGAAAAGGGGCACTCACCTGAGATGAATAGGGGGCACTTATTATAAAGGAAATTAGCACTTGTTTGTACGGGAAAGGGGCACCCATGAGATTTTGATAGAGGTATGTATTAGAGCTATGAATCGGCCCGGGGCATTTGTCGAGGAGGTGGCTCTTATTTTTTAAAGGGGCATCTATCAAAAGGAAAAGGGGCACGTGTCGAAATAAAAAGGGGCACTTATCAGAGGTGAGAAAAGGCACTCTTCAAAGATAAACGGGGCCACTTATTTGAAGCGGAAGGGGCACTTATTACAAAAGAAAGGGGCACTTGTTTAAGTAGAATGGGCACCTCTCATATTTGAATAGGGCAATTATCAGGGTTGGTAAGAGGCACGTATAAGAATGTGGAACAGGCATCTATTTAAAATTAAAAAGGGGCGCTTATCTGAGGTTAAAGGGGGCACCTTTCCTATGTAAAAAGGTGATACTCTAAAGTTTTTTGCCTGACCATTAATTTGAGAATTTCTCATTTTCCACCAAACGCATAAACAAGTATAATTTACAAAAAAAGGGTGAAAGAACCAATCACGTCATTTCAGCAACACGTGTAAGTCAATGATATCGAATAAGAATTAAGTCATGTTTGATTATTTGTTTGTATATACCCCCCCCCCCCATTAGTACGCGTGTGTCTGCAATCGCAGGCCTATACCATAATGACGGATAGTAATTCACTGAACGCGGGACTGCAC